AAAAAAAAAAAAAAAGAAAGAAAGAAAGAAAAGAAAAGGTGAGGGCAGCGCCTGCAGCTCAAAAGAGTAGGACGTTGACCCCATATACCGGAGGTGGTGGGTTCAAACCCTGCCCTGGCCAAAAAATGAGGAGGAAAAAAAAAGTCTTAATTTTGGGGGGCACCTGTGGTTCAAGGAGTGGGGCGCCAGTCCCATATACTGGAGGTGATGGATTCAAACCCGGCCCCAGCCAAAAAACGCAAAAAAAAAAAAAAAAAAGAAAGAAAAGGTGAAAGGAGTGTATGGAGGACCACAACAATTAAGACCAGCCAAAGTAGAAGTTACAGGAAGGTGCACAGTGGGAAATAAGAGGGCTTTGGAAGTCTTTAACACTAGGCACAGCAGTTTAAACTTAATTTATAACTGACTGCCACAATGGCTCACACAGTAATCCTAGCACTCTGGGAGGCTAAGGTGGGGGCTGACTGCTTGAGCTCAGGCGATCAGCCTAAGCAAGAGAGAAACCCCCTTCTCTGACTGACAAAAACATAAAAAATTAGCCAGACATGTGACAGGCACCTATAGACTCCGCTACTCAGAGGAGGATGAAGCAAGAGAATCACTTGACCCCAAGAGTCTTTTGTTTTGCTGCGAGCCTGGCTAATGTCACAGTACTCTAGCCTGGGCAACAGAGTAAAACTCTGTCTCAAAAAAAAAAAAGGGCAGCACCTGTGGCTCAGTAGGTAGGGTGCCAGTCCCATATACCAAGGGTGTCAGGTTCGAGCCTGGCCCCAGCCTCACTGCAACAAAAAATAGCTGGGCATTGTAGTGGGCGCCTATAGTCCCAGCTACTCAGGAGGCTAAGGCAATAGAATCACCTAAGCCCAGGAGTTGGAGGTTGCTGTGAGCTATGACACCATGGCACTCTACCGAGGGCAATAAAGTAAGACTCTGTCTCAAAAAAAAAAAAAATCCTTTTAAGAATAGAGAACCAATAAAGATAAACTGGAGAAAGAAAGAAGAAAAAGAAGTCAGGAAAATTGATTAAGTAACAATCAATTTGACTAAAGAAGAGAGAATAAAAAAGGGAGGTATAAAATGTGGAAGAAAACTCATCAATACCTGCCAACTGATAAGACAAGGGAAAGAAGAGAGACCATGCTGAGTGGGCGGCACCTATGCTCAGTGGGTAGGGCGCTGGCCCCATATACTGAGGGTGGAAGGTTCGAACCCAACCCCGGCCAAACTGCAACAACAACAAGGAAAAAAAAATAGCCAGGCATTGTGGTGGGCGCCTGTAGTCCCAGCTACTAGGGAGGCTGAGGAAAGAGAATCACCTAAGCCCAGGAGTTGGAGATTACTGTGAGCAGTGTGATGCCACAGCACTCTACTGAGGGTGATAAAGTAAGACTCTGTCTCTAAAAAAATATAGACCATGCTGAGGTTTTGAAGCTGAGTACCAGGAACAACATGGAATCAGTAATTGGCAACAGATTAAGAAACAGTAAAGCACAGAAATTAATAGCATGTGCTCAGGAATTAGACCATCTAGACTCAAATACTGCCTCTATTATTTACTACCAGTCCATCATTGGGCAAATTACTTAACCTTCTAAGCTGTATTCACTCACCTAGAAAAAGTAAATAAATAGAATCCACCCAGAGAGGTTTTTTTTTGTTTTCTAGAGACAGTCTTACTTTGTCACCCTTGGTAGAGTGCCATGGAGTCACATCTTACAGAAACCTCAAATTCCTGGGCTTAAGCAATTCTCTTGCCTCGGCCTCCCAAGTAGCTGGGACTATAGGCGCCTGTCATTAATACCCAGCTATTTTTATAGAGATGAGGTATCGCTCTGACTCAGGCTGGTCTTGAAATTGTGAGCTCAGGCAATCCACCCGCTTTGGCCTCCCAGAGTGCTGGGACTACTGGTGTGAGCCACCACACTCGGCTAGAGAGGTTACTTTTGAAAAACATTGATGCTTGGGTGGCACCTGTGGCTCAAGGAGTAGGGCGCCAGCCCCATATGCCAAGGGTGGGGGGTTCGAGCCCAACCCCAGCCAAAAAAAACCCTGCAACAACAACAAAACAAAAAAATAGAAATAAGAAAAACATGGATGATAGGTCTCATGTCAGAAATCCTGATTAAGTCTGGAGTGGTCTCTAGTGGTCTCTAGTGGTCTTGAGTATCTGTATTTTCAGAAACCCTTCTGGGTGATTTGGATATATACTCATGATTGAGAATCTAAAGCAGTGGTTCTCAACCTGTGGGTCTCAATCCCTTTGTAACAATGAAAATACATCGCGGCATTAGGAAGGTTGAGAACCACTGATCTAAAGGATAACTTGCTCACTATGTCATTTTAATTAATAGGTAGTAGAGCTGATGTTCTTGTATGGAGGTTTATGCAGAAGTATGTATACAAAGCCTAAATCTCAGGCACCAAAAGTTAATTGGGTATTAACTTTTACCCAATCTTGTTAATATTCATATGTAAGAATAGCCGTATGTAAGAATTGGCTGGGCACAGTGGCTCATGCCTGTAATCCTAGCACTTTGGGAGGCTGAGAAGGGTGGCTCTCTTAAGCTCAGGAGTTTAAGACTAGCCTGAGCAAGAGTGAGAACCTGTTTCTACTAAAAATAAAAAACTAGCCAGGCGTGGTGGCCGGCACCTGTAGTCCCAGCTACTCTGGAGGCTGAGGCCAGAGGATCACTTGAATCCAGAAGTTTGAGGTTGCTGTGAGCTAGGACACCATAGCACTCTACCCAGGATGACAGAGCGAGATTCTGTCTCAAAACAAAAGAAAACAAACAAAAAACCAATGGCACTGCCAGAAAAGCTAAAAACATTACTTTGGGGCTCAGCGCCGATAGCTCAAGCAGCTAAGGCACCAGCCACATATACCAGAGCTGGCGGGTTCAAATCCAAGCTGGGCCTGCCAAACAACAATGATAACTACAACCAAAAAATAGTTGGGCATTGTGTCGGGCATCTGTGATCCCAGCTACTTGGGAGACTGAGGCAAGAGAATCACTTAAGCCTAGGAGTTGGAGGTTGCTGTGAGACCACTGCACTCTACCCAGGGCAACAACTTGAGGCTCTGTCTCAAGAAAAACAAACAAGGCTCGGCGCCTATAGCTCAACCGGCTAGGGCGCCAGCCACGTACACCTAGGGTGGC